GTGGTAAATGATATTGGTGGAAATGCTTCTCTATTTTATTGGGATCCCCTATTTTATTCAAATCATACTTTCTAAACGAAATTTTTGAAACGTCTTTGAACAACACTTTCAACTAAACAACTATAACAATCTATGTAATATTGATACTACCAATCAGAATAGTTTTGCTTTGCAAGTTCGTAATCGAATGGATCCAAAATCTTGTTATTTTCCGTATGTGTATATAACTACATATATGTGAACGTAAATAATTGGAGCCAATATGTGTGGGTATGACGACACTGGAAGTTTGACCAAGTGCGACTTGGAGAGAAGAACACGAGAAAAGGGGGGAACATAGTTAAGGACATGTTTGGCAAGTGTCAAATCAAGTTTCTACGAAGTGTTGCAGAGAAAAAAACGCCACAACATGGGTCCCTTTCCAAACGCTGCCTTATTTATCGTGCGCATGTGTTTTCCTTCGAAATTAAAGGGTAAAGAAGAAACTCAATTTGAACGCTGACATTGCTATTAGACTCTCTTTTTTTGTTTGTTCATTTTCATCAACAAATTTGCTTTTTTAGTTTTTGAGAAAGGTCATTGTACTAAAAACAGATGACGAATTACAGCATGAAAAAATTGTTACAAAAGACCCGCAGTTCCAATCGCGGCAAAAGAGAGAGAAACCTTGAAAGTAATAATGCATGCACAGTATACTATTAAAGTTGTAAGTGCCGTTGACATGGTAAAGATACATTTAACCACACTTTGTCAATATAAAAACTGAAGTTGTTTATCGAATTACTAGATGACAGCTACATAAAAGTCCACCATGTCAATTCTTTTTATTCAAATTCACTTGGTTAACTCTATTTGCAATAACCAAGGCCTCATGGTACCTCACAATAGGAGAGTCATGGGTTCGAGTCGCCTTGACCACCTAGTTTCATTTTAAATTTGAAATAAATTTGAACGCGTATCCGGTTGCAAGACCTTGTGAGATTAGTTTTTGGATCTAGAAAGCTTTTGGAATCACACAATTATAAAAAAATAAATCTATTTGGATTTAGTAATTGATGATTTAGAAAAAAATATAAATCACCGGTGTTGAATACTGAAAAAGTATAGACTAAAAGTTTAAAACTTTCACGTTTTATAAAAAAAATAGTATATCTATAGAAAATAGTATA